CTCAGGCTTCATTAGGGATGTTTTTGTCCATTTGGGCAGTTTTTTGTTTTTCTTTTTGACGCCATTTCACCACCATTTGTGCATAAAATGTCGCAAAACCTCTCTCTGGACAGAATTTGAAATTCAATTTGGAATTTTTAAAATAGACCAAGGGGACATTATGGAAAAAAACACTATACACTTGAGACTTTAGAGGACAAAAACGTCCGCTTGTTAAAGTGGCTATAAAAAATGTATACATTAATATATTATTTTGCTTTTTTTTCATGGATCTGTTGAACAACTTCAGCCCTGCTCAAACATAAAAAATTCAATCATTTTGAAGCTTTTAACCCTTGAAATGCCAGTTTGAATACTCAGTCATTCATGTAATTTATGAAAAGAAAAAAAAAACGCTAAAACTGAGTTATTTTCTAAAAAAGACTATTTTTCCTGGGGTGTTTAATACAAATCAGTCTTGATTATGTTATGAAATATCTAAAATTTTTGATTTTTTTTTGCATTTATTGTTTTTACATAGCAACAGATTTAAAATGTACTATACACTCGAGCCATTAGAGGACAAAAACGTCCCATTGACTTTAATGCAAACCACAGTTTTTGATCCTGTGTCATCTGCATCAAAATAATTGTGCTTTCTGTGATGTTATGGTTTCATTTTGGACAAAAGTAGTCCAGTTTACAATGTTTTTACTGTTCACCACCAAATTCAGTCATGTCTCCATATGTTGCCCAGGCGAGAAAGTTTACACATTTCTTTAGATCTTCTGCTGTTTTTATTGAAGTCAAAAGGCCAACCTGACCTCTGATAAGTAAATAAAACACAGGTTGATTCTCCTACTGAACTTCAAAGTGTAGAAAACAAAAACAATTAGTATGTTTATGCACCTTCAAACTCCTTGAAGTCGGTTTATCTGGCCATTTCACTTCTGTGAAAGCCACGGAGCTAAATGAAGAGGCATCTCTCTGTGGAACAAGTTCTGGATCAGCTCCTGCAGCCTGATACTCCTGGAGAAAATGAGGAGAGTGAAACATCTTCAGTGGACTTTGAGGTGGAGTCAGACCATTCTGTTTCCTTGACTTCTTCTCCTGACCCGTCCAGTGAAAGAGAAGGGAGGACAACGGATCCTGCTCCAGGATGGATTTCTAAAAGTGGGCAAGTCTGGTTTCCTACTAACGCAGAAACTTCCCACTATGTTCCTGCTGCAAGATGTTTGAATCCTGGGCCAACGCGTTACGCCATCACACGTATTTACGACGTGGTATCCTCCTTTGATTTATTTTTCACTCCAGAAATGATTGAAATCATCGTCAACATGACAAATCTAAATGGAAGACGTGTGGTGAAGAACTGCTGGGATATTGATGACATCGAAGTGAGGGCTCCTGATTTTGGCTGGTGTGCACCAGTCCAAAGGGGAATCCACCTGCAGTTTTTGGGATGACCACTGTGGACGTGCAATCTTCCGGGCCACCATGAGTCACGCCAAATTCTAGATGATCAACTCCACCCTCCGGTTAGATGACAAGCTGAACAGGCCTTCCCGTCTCAGGCAGGACAAGCTGGCCCCTATCCGCTCGATTTGGGACATGTGGACCCATCGCCTCCAAATGCTTCTCAACACTGGGTTAGATGTGTGCGTTGATGAGCAGCTTGTCCCTTTCAGAGGCAGGTGCAAGTTTCGCCAATATACGCCACGCAAACCAGCAAAGTAGGGATTGAAACTCTGGGTCACTGCTGATGTTGCCACTTCCTATGCCTGGAAGTGTCAGGTTTACACAGGGAAAGCTGCTGGTGAGGCTGCAGAGGTCGGCCAGGGAAAACGTGTCATTTTGGAGGTGACCGAGGAGCCCCCCCTACAACGTGTGGGGAAAAGAACACCGAAATGGTGTACTTGGACCAAAATGGCCAACTTCTTGGCGTGGCTCCAAGAGACTTTTGTTGGTCCTAAAACACAACATCAGTGCACAAAATTTTGTAATCCTCCGTCAAATGACAAGCTGGGGCTGACCGTTTAAGAAAGAAAGAAAACAACATTTTATATGGATAAAAGATAAAATAACTCAAGATAAAAATCATGAGGCACTTCACAAAAACAAAAAATTTGAAATATAAAAATGATTTAAATAAAGAGATTACTAAGTATGTTTAAAAGTACAAAAACAAAAATTGCGATTAAAAAATGTAAGGATTAGGAGAAATGAATAGGAAAGAGGGAAATTGGTGGATACCGAAAAGGTGGAATAGGTAGAAAGAACAGAATAAGAAGAGGGTAATGATGAAGGTCACTCAAAAGCCAGCTTGAACAGGCGAGTCTTCAGCTGCTTCTTAAAGGAGACCACTGAGTCCACTGATCTCTGGCTCAGGGGGAGAGAGGTCCAGAGTCTGGGGGCCACAGCAGCAGATGATCCGTCACCTTTGGTCTTTAATAACTTTTAGTTAATAGTCAATAAAATATAAAGGTATTCAATAAAATGTAATATTCCATAAAACTTTGGATTATCAATACTGAACCTTTAATGTTCGATTGTTGTTGTAAAATAACGTATTTATAGGTACTTTGGGTTTGCCAGAGAAAAAACACTAATAATTTGACACAGAGGCAAAAACTTAGGTTATAAAAATCTATTTATTACTATATTTCTAGCGATAATGATGATGCAGGACAAATGATTATAAATGGTGATTCGTGGAACATCACCTGAGACAATGAATAAACTGTGATGAAATGTGACCTTGTGTGTTATTAAGAGCCTAATTCAGTGACTCAGAAAGATGTGATGTTTGGGTTTATGAATTAAATCAGGTTTAATTTTATTTGGATTTAATTAGTTATCAAATTAATCTTAACCCCTCCAACACCAGTGCAGAGTACAGTACCCGTTTGTATACTATAGAAGCTACTTGGCGATCCGGCTGGCACGAAGTGTCCTTGGCAAGCGATGAGATTTACTCCTGGATGTCACTGGCTGTATTACTCTGAGTACCATCATCAG